TCTATAAGTATCTTAATATTACTATTATATAGGATACAGATATATACTGGGTTAGTGCTTTATTGCTATGCTATTTATCACATGATTGTGGATATTTCTAATGTTGTATTGTATTATTGCAGATGGTGTATATTGTTGGGCGCGGTGCTGGCGCTGGCTTCGGCAGCTTCCGAGGAGAGCGAGGATGGTGTGCCGGACGCAGGAGTTGACGGTGACGAAGAATTGGCACTAAATGAAGAGGTGAACTACTTATCTTTATTTTTACACACAATAAAACCTTTTTAAACTGTTAAAACTTTAAGGCTTATTGAGAGAAAACTATGATTTTTTTTTATATCGTGTATATCTTCTTGCATGTCAAATATATAAAGTAATGAAAGAGAAAAGTTATGTTTTAACGAAAGTTTTTTGCAAACTATTTTGTTAGCAATACAGCCTAGAAATAATAATATGTTGTTCACTGCAAATGTATTTGAAAGATCCATTCACTTTCTCCTTGTAGCTGTTAATCTAAAATCTATTAAACGGTACACGTAAGATTAAATCAATCGAAAGTGATCACAGAGGAGCGCACGTCCGTCTAACTCTACCAATGAATACTAATTTATATCTTTACAATCTGTACAGAATGTTTTGTATTCTCATCTAAATTACAGTATAATTAATTAATTGTAATTGTTTAAGAATATTAAAAATGTCCGTCTGTTTATTTAAAATACTTCTAACAAAAATAATACTGTTGGGAATAAAATCTGAAAATGTGGCAGTGTATTGACCCAACACTAGCCTTATGTTCGACGTTTGTGTCCCATCACTATTAATTCTGATACTAGAATTTGTAACTAAAGCACGTCATTCGCGCCAAGTGATTCTATAATAACTAATACTGTCTTAAATACTAAGACCTATACATCCGTAGTATATACAAGCATACACTGAGCGTCTTGGTAGGTACATATATGAGATGGCGACAATATTTGATAACAGGTTAAATAAGAGTTTAATTAAAAAGAAACCTTAACACGTCGTATGCCACTACGATTTTTAAATACGTATTATAAAGTGAATTCGTTGGGAAGTCGGTTGCATTTAACGTGTTAGTTTAGCATTAATGCATTTATTAGATTCCAAACTCCCTCTGTAAATCTAAACAATGTTACGCAATTCAATTGAGGGTTAACTGTTAAGAAAATACATTTGCAAGTTAACATGTACACAATAATGTTGGAGTTGTGCATTAGCATTGTGCAAATCGACTATGTAAATATTGCAAGGAAAACTTTATCTTGGGAGTGCGTAAGTAAAAACAACACAGAGAAAGATTCAAAAGCTTAACTCTTACAATCTGTCCAGAGTTTAGACCATCAGGCTTACTATCGTAGAGTCATTAAAGTTGCTAAGTGTTGAAAAAACTAAATGTACATTAAGTGACATCACTAGTAAATGCTTAACTTGACTCTGAGTACAGCAGTTAATGGTATAAATAATAACGGCTAGTGCTACATATTTAATATGAAAAACATCTTAATCGTTCATTAAAATTTAATATAACTAGTTAAAAATGGCCACACTCCTGTCGTTAGTCCGCTGTCGGCGTCTAATAAGTTTTTTTGAACTCGCTGGCATAGTTTAATGAGTTGATGTCTTTTACAACTGCATGAATGTTGTTTTAATAAGATGGTTCACTGTATTAATTATTATTCTTACACGTGGCTAGATGTATTTCATACTTGAGAATGTATTACATATTTCAACCGAAATTATATCGTTATCACTCAACCGTGCTCGCAACCGAAAAGTAATTTTATAACCGTAACAAAAAACCGAAAGTAATTATATTCATGTCACTTTCTAAACTGAATCTATAGTAAACATATCGAAGTTCCGCGGAGCGTCAAATTGTCGCAAAAAACAAGTGCAACAAAAGAAATGCACCGCCTTTCCACTTTCACTGGCAACCGCTCGGCCGACGACCGCGAATGCGCGCCACTGACACCTAAACTAGCTTAATATTATAATTAACCACACTTAAATCATTTGAATTAAATTCCAATTTTAACGGTCTTGGTCTTTATTTACAAGGTTACACCTTACTAATATTATAAATGTGAATGTTTAGATGGATGTTTGTTTAAAAATCTATCTTACATTTTAAGTTTTAAATTATGAAAAATAAAATGCAATAGGTAAGAATATTGTTACTGGCCATTTACTACAATTGCCAATATAAATGAGGTAACATTATGTCGTCTTACATTACAATGAAATAAGATTCTGACAAGAACATTGAATAACATTGTAACGCACGAACGCACTTTACGTTTATTTTTTTTAACTGTTAAACTCATTCGTAATGAAAAGACGGTTACGGACATCGGAAATTAATTATTTACCTTCCTTTGTTCTAACTGTAAGTCAAACTTAAGTGCATTTAACACAATAATTTCTCATATTAAAATGAATTATAAAAATCAATTTGTCTTATATCATGTAGGTTCATTTGCATGTTGTACTTAATAACAATAAGTAGACTTGAGTGGGCACACTCTCGCCCACAAGCCTGTTTACTTCGGAGTCATTCCTTCAAGGTGAAATGTAATTAGGCAATAAAAGACTGAACGCTATCGTGACTCTCAATACAATACCTAAGCTGTATCAATGCATTGTAATTTTATTCCTAATCGAAAGCTTTATTTCAAAGTCTGTATTGTAACACAACGTTACGGATTACATTATTCCGAGCATATAATTTTAATGTGGCTCAAATGTGTATAGATCTTAACATATTATTTATAATTTTTTTCCTTTTGTCAAATTTAAGACATTCGTTACAATCAAATTCTATTTTCTAGGAAACAAGAAACCTCCGTCCGCGTGCGTACACTCCGGCTGCATTCTCCAACGCTCTACCGAGTGGGTTCCGACCGACGCCATCCCTAGCTGAGTTGGCGGGCTACCAGCAGCGCCCGCAGGAACAGCAGGAGTACGTCGTCGTACCCACACGACAGTACGAGGATCAAAGGCCACAGCAAAGAGCGCCGCATAGAAAGGTAATTGATTAATTACGTGATTAATTAATTTCCTAATCGAATTAATCAGTCGATTAATCCACTAATTTATTTCATAATTAAATTTATTGCTTCATTTCTTATAAGCGAATATTCAACAGTCTTAATTTTGAATATCGAACGATTGATTTGAGGAATTGTACCGCAAATAATTTCCAAATCTTATAAAAGTCGCTAAATAAATAAATCAATTTAGATTAAAATAACAGATTGATTGACAAATAAATAGATTAACTTTCACTGACAATTAGCTAGCGGTAGTCGGAAGAAATTGTAAGTAGCTGTAGTAATTGTTAATACATATTTTTTTATGCATTTAACAAAAAGTTTTAAACAATAGCTTAGCGGCACGATCCGTTCACATGAACTCACATTAACACGCGACTTAAATACATTTCTTGCCAATTTGTGTTTACAAAAGTAACTATTTCTTATAAATAAAACGTTTTGATACTATTGTTCAATCTGTTGCAAAACAATTTTCAATTCTTTGAACGGATTTTTAATGCGAGTGAAATCTTATTACAATAAGGGAACTCAAAATCATTAAGAACCTTCATAAATGTCCTGTTTATTCTCTTGATATTTACAAATTAATAAGAGAAAACTAATTATTAGCCATAAAAAATATCAAACATCTATTTAAATTCCAGCAACAAGACCAACGCCCGGCAAAATTCCAGCAGCAACAGATCCAAGAGACATTAGAAGAGGAGGAAGAAGAAGAGAAGGAGGAACCCGATCGTCTATCGCAGCTGCTGCAACAGTCCAAGTTCAACTGCGTCAGCAAACAGACCGGCTACTACGCGGATGAGGAGCTAAACTGCGAGGTCTTCCATTACTGCCAGGATAATGTCAAGCATTCCTGGATCTGTCCTGAAGGATTCAGCTTCCATCAGGTTAGTATTAAGGAAATATAAGTGTTTATTAATTTATAAAAGTCTATTGTGATATATCTCCCAATTTACGAAACAAGAAATAGGTAATTAAAAAAACCGAACATCTGTATTGACTGTTGTACTCCTGTAATACGTAAGGGAATGACACTTTGTACAATAACTAATTTGGGATTTTGACCTAGGTGCACCTGATCTGTATGCCAGCGACTCAAGAGAACATTTGCCAGAGATCATCAAAGTACCACTTCGTCAACGACTACCTGTACCGGCCCATCAACCAGGAGGAGGTGCAGCGCAAACCCAACGTCTCCCTCAAGTACTCCGACCGCTTCTACCCCGCAGAGGTCTACAGGGACGACAGATACGAACAGGAGGAGGAAGAAGAAGAGGTCAGTATAACAGTATTAAAACATGTGACTATTAGTAATATAGTAATAATAGGGTAAAAATTGAAACTGCCAATTGGCAAGTGATTTTTACATGTTTAGAACAATGTACTGTAATAATAGTTGTCAGTGAGAGCAGTAGAGTTAACTGGAATGGAGGTTTATTTCTATGATTGTCTGTCAGGAGGAGCAGGCTCGGCGCACCGTGGCGCCGCAGCCGACGCGCGCTGTGCCTCGCCCGCAGCAGCCGCAAGTGTTCCGCGCGCCCGAGGAGGTCAACATTCCTCTCGTACAGAGACGCCCACAGCGCCCTTACGAATTTGACTTCTAAACTTATAACAAGCTATCAAAACTTCACTCTTGTTCCCAGAAATATAAACGTCTGATCAAATAGTATGATTGCTGCAGCTTCACTGAGCGCGCAGTTTACACATTTTATAATTTTTATAATCTGCCGTTTGATATAAATATGGCGGCTGTCAATGTAACCGGTGCTATTTAAAAAATAATAGTGATCAGATTTAACACACAGTTATTAATGTAAATGTTATTTATCTGTAAAATAAAATAATAATTCGTTTTAAGTTACAAATTAGTTGTAAGCTAGTCTTCGATGTAATGTTAGGATAAATAAAAGACAATTTTCGTATGATTTTGTTTTATTTGTTGCTATATTTTTCATTTGAATAAGAAATATATTTTAAACAATGCATGAATTTTGAGGTTAAAACGATTACAGGTTAAATAACAGAATGACACGTACGACCGATGGGGCCTTTGCCTCCGCTAGAGTTCGGTCCAAATTTCTCCAAACACTCCTTTGCCTTGCACAAGCAGTTCTCATTTTTACCTGGACGTCTTCCACGCGAATTTGAATTATCTGTTTCTGTAAACAAAAATAAATATTTGCAAGTAGCAACGCCACAAAATGTTAAAAGAGCATTCTTTATTTTTCATAAACCAAAAATAATGCGAAAAATATTACGATTGGTCGTCGCAAAATAAAAGGTTTGATATATTAGAAAAAAACTCTTACCATCTTCAAAACATGGACAAGGTTTATTCGACTGGTTGGCGCTGTAAATGAAAATATTTGTAATATTGTGTAAGTTCAAATCAAATTATTATTATATCACACGAAAATAAATATGTCTTTCTTATTCTTGAAAAGAGACCAGAATACTCAGGGCTTCATCGAGCTTTATCTCACCTTCTTTGACTCTTGCCTTTGGTATAAAGATACATTTATGTGTCAGATACTTACGATGCAACTCTGGAGGATGCTGCCGAGGCTGTCCGAGCGCTATCGGATCGCTTGTCGTGTCCTTAAATACAAATAATTCAAACACATACTTAACATAGCAAAGACTCTTTTTTCAAAAAAATCTTTAAGTTTTGGACTAGTTTGTTGCTCAGAATATTTCTCCCTGTCATTTCATTAGTGATGTACTGACTCAACATACGTTGTCTTTACTTAGCTAACGTAGCATCTTTAGACCACTGCATCACTTAACATCAGGTGGGATCGTGGTCAAGCACTAGGTTATTTCATATAAAGACAAAAACTATAATGAATATTGAATTCAAATGTTAAGTCAAACATTATGAATGTTCCGCTCAACTTTCTTAATTTTTTTTCCTTCATATGAACCTTCTCATGGCTAAAATAAACACTACAAAAAAAGTAAATTGTTTCATCCGTTCAGGCGTAATGGGATTACCAAAAGATTCATTTTTACATTTACATTTTTTTTCTTTTTTTTATATCATAAGGTGGCAAACGAGCGAGCGGCCACCTGAAATCGCTGAAATAGCGAAGTTATCGTTGCCCATAGACATACAGAATGGCATATGCGTTGCCTACCTTTAATCGACGCAGGAGAGAATGCACACAAAGAAAATATCTCCCCTTTCCTCTCATCCGGAAAGTCCACTATCACTTCCCATCCTTTTCTTATAAGAAAAAGTGTGGGAAGTGAAAGAGGACTAAATTAGGCCTCCGAGCCACACTCATCAGACTGTACGCGGAATTGCTTCCACTTCACGCCTGTCTTCTGTGTGGTCGTGGTATTTCACCGAGCGAGGCGGGCCAATTCGTGCGAAGATGTTAAAGCGGGCTCTACCACATATAAAGAAAGATTTAGAAATATTTAGTAAGACTTACCTTTATCTTCATTGTCATCGCACGAAGATTTATCACTTTTTGCGCTACGCTTCGAGTGACCAGACCCAGCAGACATCCGGCTCGGCATGGACGACCGCGACGGATGCGCTGACGCGAGGTTGGCGATCGCGATGGCTCCACACGGTTGTTTGAGTTCCGACGTCTGCCTGGAGCCGAGATCGGGCGTCCGTCGGGCATCGGAGGTTTGTTTCAGTTCACCTCTAGATGTATATTTTGAAGCGTCCTTAGCTGTCCGTCGCTGTTCTTTAACTCGTCTCGGTTCCTCGACGGTTTTCTTGGACTCTGGCTGCCGTTTGGATTCATCGACAGGCGGTTTTTTGACTTCGAGTACACTTTTACGTTCGTTCTCAGATATTTGTTTGGATTTGGAAATATTACGTTTAGTTTCAAACAATTTTTTGAATTCAGAGGTGCGAGGTTCAGGTTTACCCCCACTCTTAACCTCCGATGATAGTATTGGTTCACAGATCGGCTTAGATTCCTTCTTAGCCGATCTTCTGTATCCGAATGTTCGTTTAGATTCGTTCTTAGGTATCGGTTTGCGATCGGCAGTCCGTTTGGATTCGCGTTTGTTTATCCCTCCAAGTTTTGACGTATTTGCGGCTTCGTTAGTCTGTTTTGACTCGAGATCATGTGTCTGTTCGTGATGGGACGTCTGTCTGAGATCATGATCTGCCGTTCTATTGGGTTCAGTTGTCTGTCCAAGAGAGTGTCCAGATGTTGGTTTTGTTTTGCAAGGATAGGGTTTAGGCTTATCGTCAGATTTAAGTTCGATCGACTGTTTAGTTTCAACGTCAGAATTAAGTCGCGCATCGGCCATTATAACGGATTCATTTTCGGGCTTTCGCTTGGATTCGGGCGATCGTTTAATTTGAGGCCCAGTTGTCAATCTGGAATCATCCAAAGACATTCGTCTGGGTTCAAATATCCGTCTTAGCTCAGGTTCAGATATCCGTTTCGGTTCATCTTGCAATATTTTCTTTGGTTCGGAAAGTAAATCTGGTTCGGATATACGTCTGGGTTTACATTCGTATAGAGATGATACTTGTTTCGCTTCCGGTTTGAAAGTTCGTCTCGGATCCTCCTCACAGGCTTTCTCTCTTTCGGCAATCTCTGCAGGATCGGCTACGCATTCTTGTATTCGATTAGATTTTGCCCTCGGTTTGAGTTCAACCATTCGTTTTGTTGGTGAAAACGACGGCATTGAGTCTTCCTCGCACAAATGTTTGAGCTTGAATGTCCGTATTTTATTGTAAGCCCGGTTGAGTTCTGATTCTGTAGGCTGTATGGTTTCAGAATCGCAAGATGGTCTGCGACCGGGTTCCGCTCCCCGTTTGGGCGTTATTGCGGATGTCCGGCTGCTGCCTGGTCGTTCCTTACTGGAGCTTAGAGAATCTGATATTAAATGGAAAATATTAAATTAAATTTACGTTTGTTTCTTCTCTGTTACACCCTTTATCTCTCTCTCACTGTCGCATCTACTACATTACGGTAGGTTTGCAGCGAAACAAGATGACCGAGAATAAGAATATTGAACAAATTAAATTATATTTCAACAATCTTAATAAAATACGATCAACCAAACGATTAGCTTTATTAAAGTGAAATTTACCTGATCGTAGCAACATTTCCTGCTGCCCCTCTTTCCGAGGTTCTATTCCAAGAATTTCTTCAAGTTCCTCAACTTCCTCTTTTTCTGTCAACTTCTTTCTTCGTACAACGGGACGAGGTAAAACTACAGTTTTAGGTATAATTATTTCAGGAAACTCTTCAATTTGCTTTTGTAAAATCTTCTTCTAAAAGTAAAATAGATTTTATGCATATGTATTTAAAATTGTGTCAATTTAAATGTGTAAATTATTTGAATCGTTCACTTACAGATGCGGATTTCGGTAGCATTGTATCATTTGTTTTTAAATTCAGCAAACGTTGCATTTTTTTCTCCAGTTTATTATCTTTTATATATTTTTCTATCAGTTTTCTCTTCTGTGCATAGAAACTAAATAAAAAGTTTACTTTAGTTTTTTTGTTTTAATTGAAGCAATTAATCTGGCATTTGTAATAAGAGACCAAAAATTTTAGCTAGTTTTTGTGATATTCGATGGATGTCAATACGTTTGTGACCAATGAAGTCATGTGAGGAACCGATAAGTTGCCTGACTCTTCACTTTATTAAGTTTTAATGGAATATATATTAGGTTAGGTTTGAGGTCGCACATGAGAGTAACATTACAAGAATATTACTAATATTATAAATGCAAATGTATCGCATAGATGTATGTTTGTTTAAAGGTATCTTCAGAACGGCTAGATGGATCTCGTTGAAAATTGTCTGGAAGAAAGATAAGTTACTAATATTTTTTTTTAATTCCGTGCGGACAGAATTGCGTGCGACAGCTAGTATTAAATAAAAGCATTCTTCTTCAAAGTAATAAGACCTTCCTTGTTTTAAAATGTCAAAGGTATAATTTGATTAGTGCAGTGAGAAGATACCCGCTCTCTTTGACCGGTGTGAGGAAGGCGGGGCAGTGTGACGCGCAGAACTCCGGCCCTCTGTTATTCACTGCCAAACAAACGTCATCAATATTAGATTTCGACAACGTTTAGAATTATTTACAGCCTGAAATAACTTGTAAGCACTTATTTTAGTCAATGAGTCGTTACTGCATTAAAAAAACGCTGAGTTCAAAGTAAGACGTAAGTCCTATTTCAATGTTCAATATTTAACGTTTTACTCAATAGGCACGTTTCACGGACGAGCACATACAACTAACAAAGTTTTTGAGAACTGGAATACTCACGCTGTCCGCATTGGGCCAGCTGCTTCGAGATCTCGACCTCAGCCTCGACGGCCGCCGCCAGCCGCGGGATGAGCGTCCCATCTGGTTCCTTGGTCGCCTTTCTAAAAGTATCGACGGGTATGGCTGAAAAAATAACTTCCGTCAAATATATTGAGTGACCGAATTTAATATTCCCAATTGGGAAAATTACGATCTTATTTATGTTCAAATATTCTTCAATAAATAATGCAGATAAAACGCGACAATGTAGTTGTAATATTTATATAAAAGAAAATGTGTTACAATCAGGTAAATTTCCTTGCTTGAGCAAATGCGATGTGCAAATGCAAGGTTCGACGGGGCAGTAACACTGCTTGGGTAGCGGCGCCGTGTGCCACTCGATGTCCAGGCACGGGTTCCCCAGGATGCTCTGCAACGATTCAATAACAGCCACGTGAACTAACTAGAAAACAGCTATATCACCGGCAAACATTCTACACTGCTTTTGTTAACAAAAGTCGTAACGACTCGGCTGAATAAAAATCAAAATTACAAATTAGTCAACGTGGTTGATGTTAAGATGCTTCTGCTAAGTTACTTATTCTTTTATATTTTATTTTCTACTGCATGTAGGCTTGCTATGGGTTCTCAAGCTCCAGTACTTTTGTCAATTGAAAATCTTTACCTCTTTAGCATTGTATCGACTTTCTACGACTCTGTAACGTCTCGCTTGTTTCTTTAATTTTTCAATAACTATGTCCGAATTGTCAATGTACTCCCTCTCATACTTTCTATTTGGACAGTCGTCCGACATCTTGTTGCATGCATACGAGATCCTGCAAATATTTTTTTTATTATCAATAGCCTAGTTCATAAGTAATATATACAGATCGTAGACCTCTGATATTAGAATATACGCACAAAACCTCAGGCTCTGCAGAACTGTATACATTTATGGTCAATAACATCGTCATGATCTTCAAAAGGATGTTTAGTGTGTGCTTTAATTCGTCTTGTGTTGTTTATGTACTAGAAATCAGGTTTGGAATTCAAGGGCAGTTTGAAGATTCTCCAGTAGACTAATTGCTACATCACGATAACTACTTGATAATAAGAAATGAGATATATTCGTCTAGATGTGATATTGCGAATTACATACCGGTTCTATTTTATTTCCATGTATTGTTTAAGCTACTGTAACAAATTATATAGCTTCATTCTGCTGTAGCGAGTCAAACGTACTATGGTCTTTAAGGTTATGGTCATAGAGGTGGAAATTTGGTTTGATTTTCACTTGACCTGCATTTTACGCTTGATTTCTGATCTATTTATATTTCATATTATTAACTGTATTACATTTTCAAATTAGTACAAATGACAGCTGCTTGAAGCCAAAAACTGAAGGATGTTTATCCATAGATTATATCAAATTAAAATGAAAGGTATAGATTTTTCTTACCTGATAAACATATTGGTATTCTGTTTTGAGCGTAGTTCTTTTGGGGCGAACCTGCGTCCTGCAGTGGGCGTGTTCAACTAATTGGTAAGTAGTACTAGGTTATTGAAGGAGAATTTGGAACATTGCCGAGAGAAATACTCCTCTTTTGGCTATCACTCTCCCACATTATGCTTGCTATAAGCTGAAGGTGTGTATGGGACTTTTATAATTTTTCCATTTCATAAAGAATGCGTTGCAAAATAAAAAGTTTTTTTAATAAGTAATAATTTATTTATTTACAAAACTATTATTTTATTATTCTACAATTTAAACCATTTGTATAAAATTATAAGTTTTAGGTGTTAGGCTCTTCAGTGTTGTTTCTGTATATCTTTGGCAGTCAGTCAGCAATCGACCGTACACTTTCTTAGTTACATATTGATTTTATTTTATTTTTTCCAGTATCATTTTAAGTTAATTTGTCAACCTACATTTCTGGAAAGAATAATAATAATACATACATCTATAAACAAAAAAACATCGCGATTGCCATGCTCATATATTCTTGAACACTTATAGGATTTGTCGTGTTTTTTGACAAACGAAAAAAAATTTAAAAAAATAATTTGGTACAAGTTAATTTGCTAATATGTAGCAATATTGTAATACTTATTTAAGTTGGGCCAATTAATATTTATTGCAAACACTACTTGATTTCATTTACGACCAAAACAGAAATACTTGGAACCTTACAGTAATTTAATTATTGTTCATCATTCCTAGCCTTTCTTCTTAAATATTTTCGACCCAAATTTCCACCTGCTTAGATTGCTTCTAGATTCATTTACATTTGCGCACTCATCTTTTACCTGAAAATAAAGAAAGATCCAACGTCTAGTTCGCGATACCATAATTTCGGGAAGTAATCGACTACTGGGGATGGATGCAAAAAGATTTTTCTCGCATGTAATACAATATATTTTTTTTATAACAGAAGGGGGCAAACGAGCAGCGGGAACACCGAGGTGTTCAACGACGCCCATGGACATCAGCAATACCAGAGGATTATGCTTTTAAAGGGTTAAATTTGCACAATTATTATACTTGGCTAACAATGGTATAAATTCAATTGATTTCGGTTACAGCGACACTGGAGGAACGACTACAATACCTTAGCAATAGCCGGAATTTGTTACATTGTAAAAGTAAAGTAAATGTTGAGTAAAATATATTTTTACCTCGTAGTCTCCTTCCTCAATCTCTCTGGCATGCTCCTGCTGGTACTTCATCATGCGTCTCATTCTACGCTTTTTAAGCGTAAACGAGTATTCGTCTAACCTCAGTTTTTCCTCCAAGTGTCTGAATATAAATTATTTTTTATTGAATTTGTTAGAAACAATTTTGTCGGTTTAACTTAAAATCTATAGGAAATCGAATATCTTTGATTTTTGTTTCTGTATATTGATTTCTTCTCCGTTTTGCTCCTAAGAATGTGTCAATGACACGCGTAGTATAGACAATTCCTGTAACAAATTCTGAAAAATCATAGTAATTTTGTCCCCAACACTATTCAGGTAAATTCGATAAATGTGATAAAGTTGGTAAAATTTGCATGGTAGTGTATAGTCTCAGACTTAATAGTTCTTTTCATGTTATGTTAATAGCAAAGACTTCATACTCGGTCCTGGAAGGGATCTGCTCCGGAGTCTCAAACTTGAATGAGATACAGCGCGACGCGCAGAATTCCGGGCATTTCAGGCACACTGGATACAAAACAGTCTTTGTTTAAGATTTTCTTTACGAAAAGTTAAAAAGTACTACATTCGTGTACCTACTATGTGTACTGCTTTTAAACTTTATAGCTGATCATGGTTAGCTACCAAAATGTGTCTAAGAATAAACGGCTCCCATTGGTCAAACGAACTCAGGGCTGTGCCGCACGCCCGCATCCCTTTACTCTATGGTCTATGGTCTATAACAACAGCTGTTGCACGAATGGCCCGCTCGACCGGTGAGATACCATGACCGCACAGAAAACGTGCTTCGAGTGCGAAATATCGCTGCGTTTTACGCGTTGAATAAATACTTTTTCTTTTAAATAAATGTAATTCTTTAAATTTTTTGTAGTATTGGTAGTAAGCGAGAAATTGCACCGTTCGAGCCAGTCCAGTCGGCAACTGATGTTGTTGGCTCTACCACTATTACATGTATGTGTCAAACTTTGACTCACTAGTTCGGTCGTCACTCAGCAACAACATGTATGACTCTGTGGCCTCTATCAAAGCTACCTCCAAGGATCCGATAAAAGTTCCGGCAGGCTCGTTTTTACTCGAACTAGCTGTTAATATTAAAAGCAATGGGCACTTTTAGAAATCAATAATCTGATTGTCCGAACCCCAGGTAAACCAGGGAAAAACGAATCAAATGACATTTCACTCTTTCAAATATGTCAAACTTTTTAGGTCGTAGGTCACCCGTTGAGACTATCTATGTGGTCGTGGCCTCGGTCGAGCTGGCCCATTGGTGAAATAGCTGCTCTAGCCAGGTCTAATACATTAAAAAAAATCTCAAAAAAGCTAATTAGTTAGGAAATTAGCTAATAATGTTAGGATAACTTCCTTTAATTATTGCTGTACATATGCAAGGCGTACCATACGGAATGCTCACTGCTTCCGAGAGCTTGCATCCTCTGCAAATACAACCAAAATCCTTGCAAAGGCATTTTTTAATATTCGGCATATCAGGCCATTTTAAAAGTTTCGCTTCCGTTTTAGGATTCACCTGAAATTATTATTATTGAAGGAAATCGACACCTTTGGTATTTTTAAAATTTTGTAAAACGTAGTGTTCATTCGATACAAATGTTAATAAAGTGATAGATATAAATTCATTTTAATTAACTCACCGGTTCATCATACGCCGCACTTTCTTTAGGACTTTTATTTTTTAAAATAAGATTTTTGAGAATTACATTAATATCGGGTGTCGTACACGACGCTGGTGTACCAATTTTTCTTTCATATTGTTCTTTGAACCATTCTTGATCATCTTCGGGGAGTGTTGGCTGCGGGTTTAAAGGGCAGCCTGATCCCTTCTTGCTGGGCCGGGGGCCCGGCGAGCCCTCCCCCTGCACAGTATACGTCAATGTATTGCTTTCGTCTTGATACATTATAACTTGATTGTTTTAAGTGAACTATAATCATTTCGATTTATATGTTGTTGGTAACAGCTCTGTAATATGACCATCCATTATGTAAAAAATGAATTCAAACAATATAAAAGAATTTTTATTTTAATGTAAAAGTTATTTTTTTGATAAATGTTTGATTTTGACAATTCTATTTTCGACTTGCTCTGTCATAATTAATTTATAAGACCTTAAAACAATATAATCCATGTTTTTCGCTACCTTTAACCTGTACCACCATTGAAGTGAGTATTTATCCATTTAATTAAAGAAAATAATATCTTACAGTATTAAACGATATCGTATCTCCTCTAAGTTTAGTATGTTGCGGTGCCCGGCCTTTATCTGGCAGCTAAAATGCCTAACGACTAAATATGTCAATGTGTCACTGTCAGTGTCATAAATGAAATGAACATTTTTCAAATTTTTCAACTTCAATTGTTTATTTTCACATTTATTGATATGATAAATAATTAAATAAATATCTTTTCAAAAACGATTAGATGGTTAAAGTAGAAAGTAAAACTGTCAAAAGTGCAATAAACGGGTATGTTTACAGCTGAATTTTGAATTTATGTGATAAGACATCAAAACTGCTCTCAGCATGGATAATTTATCATACAAGAAGTATCACGTTACGTTTATGGAGAACAATGATGGAACAACTGTCCTGCATACATTCTTTCGTGTACTTTTAACTGTTCAGACGGCATTACTGTGTTCTATTCGGCCGATGTTCGGAGAACAGGAACAATATGCTTACGAATATGTTTCTATAATACTATCTATGATAATAGCCCATACTGTATTCGTTGACCAGTTGTACGTGTTAAATTTTGTAACATTCTGCTTTATTGTGTACGAATTTTGTAGCACTAATAGTGTAGAAGACATTTGCAAAGCATTGGCAAAGCTTAACAATATTAGCAGCGCGAAAATAAAAACTATAACATTCCTGCGTGGCCTGACATACTTGATTACTGTGTTTTGCATTCTCGCTGTGGATTTTAAAGAATTTCCAAGATATTTAGCAAAAACTGAAAGATATGGTTACAGTTTAATGGATACTGGAGTTGGATTGTTTGTTATCATGAGTGGTTTGGTACATAAAGATGTGAGTGGGGGCAACTGTTACTCCATCATATTGAGTAATGCCAAATTCTTAATTGTACTTATTTCTTTAGGTCTGGTTAGATTTATCACTATAAAACAACTAGATTATCATGAGCATGTTACAGAATATGGTGTTCACTGGAACTTTTTTTTCACACTAGCTGTTTGTAAACTTGTTTCATCTTTTATTCTATATTATTCTAAAAAACCACTGTTGTTGAGTTCATTGACATTGATTTTACATGAAGGTCTATTGTTCTTTGGGCTACAAGATTGGGTGTTTGGTGAAAATGATAGGGAATCCCTGATTGATGCTAACAGAGAAGGTATTGCGTCAAGTTTGGGTTATGTCTCGATGTACCTTTATGCTGTTTACATTCGCTCTATTTTCTGTAACAGCTTAGTATCTACATATGAGGTTTTAATGAAGTTTGCATTAAATGTAGGTATTCTTTGGAGTCTATCATTCTTTATTAATATATTAAGACCGACTTCAAGAACATTGGCCAATGCCGGCTTCTGTTTATATGTTGAGGCAATTATTATAACAATAACAATGGTTGTGTATTTCTTTGAAGTTATATATCAAGATAAGGAGAGAGGTCTCAGTTTCAATGTGCCTTACACACTATTAGCTATTAACCAAAATGGTTTGTTATATTTTCTTGTAGGTAATTTGTTAACGGGCTTGATAAATATAAACATTAGAACTTTGTTAGTAAACAGTTTCACCACATTTATATTATTGAATATGTATATGCTACTAACTTTAGCATTTATTGCTTATTTAAAGACTAAAGGTGTTAAGATTTAAAAACAACAAAAGTATTTTGTTTTTTATTTCATAAGTTGTCACAATTATAATTTTGTTACCATAGATTGTCTTTTTTTTCCTCAACATAAGTCATAAGTAAAAATTCCACATATACCTTTAGAACGGAACAATAATAAAGAGGTAAAGTTGGGAAAAAAATAAGGAATTTTATAAGCATTGTTTTTGGAAATGAAAAATATTTTAGTTCCTAATTTTTACAATTGGTGGTAATTATAGTGGATTCTAATTAGACGACTAGAAAAAGGGATCGTCATGAGTAATTCAAGACCTAAAGACCAGCTCATATTTCACATGTGAGGAGGTCCAAGAGCCAACCTCAGCTTTCAATTTATACCTGCAGAGTTACAATTTGCGTTTCAAAAAGCAAACTGCGAATCGTCAGACAGTTCAAGTTTTTTTGTTTAAACCGGTTCAAAACTGATTAACACAAGTCTTAAGAATAATAATATATTGTTTGTATACTGTACAAAAATAAAACTGCATGCCTCACTCAATTTACACAAATTTTATTACTAGTCATCAGATTTGGGTATGCAAAATTACACAGACGTAAAAGATGTTAATCTTAAAATCGATAGAAACAACAAAAACCATTCCAGGAAATTACAAAAATATTGGGTATGTGAGCATTTCATTAAATCTCAGATAAGTAGTACACATTAAATTACTTCATTGTACCCTCAAAATCTAAAGACTAATATAAACATATAGTAGAGTATAAATAGAAAATATCTGTATTAATATAAAAGAACAAAGTTATATTTATCAAAACAACCTTTTATATATCATAATGGTATGTATTATTGGAATGTATCTTAATGTAATTTGAAAATTTTTCTTGAAATTAGTCAAAAAAATCGTTAAAAATGGGTTTACTAAAATAAAATTGCTTCCTTGATATAGTTGCGGAGCATTAATCCAACAAAACCTTTTAAAATTGTACTTTTCAGCTCATATTCTCTGAATAAAACGTATAATGTCACGGAACAAAGTGAATATTAAAATAAATTATCTAATTTCGGTTTGTACTAAGTTGGACTGTGAGATATCTTGGCTATATTATTTAACTCACAAATTCTTACTTGCTATAAATGTAAAAATGGCAACAACCAAAAATCTTCATTGAGACATACAGAATTTTAAGTTATTGTCAATGTCTTTATATCAAATGTAAAACATAAAATTCAATATCTCATCTAAAGAATAAAAAAAAAATGAGTATAATAATAGTACATTGATAATTAACAGTTAATTAATAATTTGCAATAGAGGTACAGTCGCATCACTTTTCTGAGCCGGGCTACATCGAAATATCATTCTGGACAAGGTAAATACAAAAATGTATACAATAAACACTATCAAAATGCCAGCATATACAAATAAATCGATGAATCTTTGAGGAGACCACAGCACTGTGTAACGCAGCAACTGCTTGTTCTCAACTGAAACATTTTATAAACATATAGATTTGTCTCCAAGGTCTCTGCCTACCCCACTAGATTACAGACTATACAACTTACCTATAGCAGCACCGTAACCGATGCGATTAGTTCCCATCCTGTAGGAACATGTGGGCACATATATCTCATAAAGATCACCATCTCTATGGACAGTCAGTATATCGTCATCTAGCCGCAATGCATGGCCCGCAATGTTCCTCAACTCTTTGTCTTTTACTATGTACTTCGATTTATGTTCGTGAGCGCAGAAGTAAATATTTGGTTGAATTGCGTCATTTACCTAGACAAGATTATAAAGAAAGTTATCTTACTAATATTGTAATCTTACTCATATAAAAATGCGAATGTTTAGGTGGGTGGATGTTTGTTTGTAGGCATCTCCAAAATGGCTGAATGGATCTCTATGAAATTTGGCATACATATAGAACATAGTCCGGAAGAAAACATAGACTACTAATAATGTTTTCTTTTACTTACGAGCAGTCACGGGCGACCACTCGTTTAACATAAAAACATGTAACGGGAATTGATAGAAAACTAATGTGAAGAGTCATAGTAAGAATAAAACAGTGTACCTGTTTACCAAATACTGTTTTCCATAGGACTGGATAATGTGAAACAACAATTTTGTAGTTATCATCGTCAGTGCCACGTGGGTAGGTATATGTGATGCCATTAACCTTGAAGAATGATATGTTTCTGTAGGTGATAATGTCTGGCTGGTTAAATACTGCCTCAAATTCTTTCACCTTATCACTTTGGATTGGTTCATTTTCCCCACCAATATCATTATCTCCTGGTAACCATACTTGCTGGAAAGAAAGTCATTAAAATAAAATAAAAAACAAAGGCACAACAACTCTTGCACAAGATTTTATTTTAATATATCAAATACTCACAATAATAGGATAAGAAACTTGAAATATATTGGATAGCCTTTTAACATAGCCATGGAATTGTTCCATAGTCGCTATTGAGCCTTCATCCATGAGGTCACCCAGATAAACCAACACATCAGGCTGGAAATATTTCAGTGCCACAGCAAAGGTGGACCTCAAGTACCTAAAATCCGCCTTAAATATAGACAAATACATTTAGTAACTTTATAAATCTATTTTCAATGATGAATTCATAAATTTATTTATTTACAGTAGTAATGATACTTATTATCAACCTGGCATTATTATTTGTAAGTATGAGTTTCCATTGCCAATACACTGGTTGAAACATATTAACATCAGTCTCATAAGCACATCAAAAATCTGAAATAACTACAGTTGAACCTGGAGAGCCATTGTCTGGTTTCAACAGACACCCTCCATAGTAGAGAACTCGGGTCAGACCTCAATAAGAGAAATATCACAATTAAATAAACATTCAACATAACAATAATGTTCGTGAAAATCATGAATTATTCAACTAAATTAACCATGAATCAATTAACATTTCTTTTAAGTTAAATAAATGAATATTAACTATAGTGTGTCATACCTGTCACTATCCCAGTTAAAAAGGTAACTTAAAGGCGGCGATACCGCCGTATCGCCTTGTATCTGAGGATCAGCTATAAACATTATCTTCGTACATGACAAGTTGTCTTCTGGACACTTCAAAACGTTCCAGTAAATGGTTTGTAAATGATATACAAACAATTCATTATACAATACAGCTCCAATTACCGCTGCTATGAAAAATTTCGGTGCCGCGCTGCAATATTTTAATAAAAAGCGTGTAATATAAAGTTAAATTTTGAACTAATCGTCATTTAACATCTGGTAAATCTTAGTTACCTTCGTCTTCGAAAAAACATTTTGTTTTATCATGAGATCGATATCATTACTGTGAGGATTCTTGATAAAACCAATATTGTGAGTATCACGCAATGAGGTAGGTGTTAAAGGTGATAAAGGGATCAGATCAGAATAAAATGTTTAAAAACTGATTAAAATATGACAGTTGACACCCTTCATTCTGGTAATTTAATAACAAAAACAAATTCCACAGATAACAATTACAAAGAGCTAAATGCAAGAAACGTTCAGTTTTGACGTTGGTCGTTATTTTTGTAATATTTCCATTTTGTTATAAAATTGCCACGAAAGTGCATACTGCTTTTGATTTTAGTTGTGATTATAAAGTGAAATGTTGTTAGTGAAAAAATTAATAAGAATACATATATTCGTCCTTTTGGAGGATGACCAGTAACTTCGAAACGTTTTAACTCGAATTATGAATTTCGCGTTGTTTTACGTGATAGCTATACTATGAAATAAAATGTAAAATGATTCTAACGTAAATAATTATTAAATTTATATTTTTATCCAGGAACACTGAGGCGTGATAGCTTGAGCTGCGGAGTAAAATTTTGAACGCATCTATTCATATTTTCGAACGTTACTGTTGCGGCGGTTTGACAGGTCAGCCTCGAGCCTCTTTTTAGCTTCTCGAGTAGCGTATTTTCATTTTATTTTATGTTATCATTTTATTTACGCGTAATATTTAATATGTATGTAGTAGTTATGGTAGTGTAGTTTGTATTTTAGACTTTTTCTAAGTGCACTTACAGTGTTACATAAACAGTACGTCGCCAATCGTGTCGGCAAGCCGTATGTATATACCTAGGCGATACGTCAGTGAATGAATGTTGGCTCTAGATAATGGATGTTGATGCACCTAACATATTGAAAAGGAGCAGCAGCGCACCTCTGATCAATGAGGCAGCGTCCACGGCAGTCACTTCACCCACAACGAATACAGCTCCCAGGTATAGTAGAGTCGCCTCCCACGGGATTGCAGTATCGATAATTTGAGTGTTTTTGACAGCTGCTGTGGTCGTTAATAGATGCTTTACCCATACTTAGATTTATGTGTTTGCGACGTTTAAATTTTTAGTCGCAATATTCGAACTTGCGCATAGTTTTGCGTCGTTCCATATATAGTGTATACATGAAAATTTTCTTTGTATTCAGATTTATGAGTTGTATTGTGAGTTTGTTAGCGTTTTGACTTGCAAAGCAGTTTTCATTTCTATTTCAAAACAATCCGTATGATTTATGACTTTTTTTATCCATATAATATATTTGCATGTTTGCATATGTTTATACCACATGTATGAGTATGGAATTATTTAACACTATGAAAATACGTGTATCCTAATTATGTCGGCGTTTTCAAAAATGTCGCGGTTAAAGGTCGTGTTATACTTTTAGATATGTAAAATTATTTATGAGATGTCACTAATGACATCAATAATAAATTTACTCAGCAATAACAACATGAAGAGTGACTGATAACTGAAATTTTAAAATAGTTGGGTTGCAATATTATTTTACAAGTAAGATTGCAAATATTATTTACAAATGGTAATTTAATAATAAAGATAAACAAATATTGTTATAATATTATTAAATAATATATAAAAAGGCAAGAAAAACTCAACTTATGACCTAGAGATCACAATTTTTATTGATGAAGTTACACATTTATCTTGTCTCTTTCACACATTATCTAAATTAATAAAGAAAAACAATTTATACACTATCCTAAGGTGACATTACATCCTATTACATGAATATAGGCCATACTTATTACTTTTTTAAATTATGGATGGATAATTGCTTGTATTGGATACAGAGTAAATATAAAATATATATATTCAAGAGGCAATTTCTCCTAATAAAGATTATCTCCTGGTGATATTAAAGGCTACAGCTTAATTAATAATATTGTTAAATACATTGTGGTTATAGCATTTGACTCCAATGGAAGTTTATATACTTTGTTCAAATATTATTGCAATAAACAATAATGGTAATATGATAATGTGTTTAGGTTATATCATGGTGTGATGTTTGTGGAACATGAATGTGTTTTGTTTTTTATTGTGAAACTGGCGACACTGAATGATTACACTTTTCATTTATTAGCCATAGTTTTTATTTGTAGAATTAATGAAGTTAGTTAAAATTGAATAGAAATGTTGATGTATTTATTATGAATTAGATATATTTTATTTGTCAATTATAAAGATATTTTTTGTTTATCATGTTCATCATAAGTGTTTTTGTTTAGTCAGCATTTACTAAAGTTTTTAATGTGTGCTAACAGTGACAGTATTAAAGTTTTGTCTAATTGTAAAGGGGAAATCTGAGTTGTAAGTAATTTTTGACTTAACTTAAGGATTATATAAAAATATGTCTGGTAGAATATAGCAAAAAGCTTTATTTATTATGCCTGTTTCATATTAGTTATCATAAGAACAACAACAATTGTAAGCATTGACTAACTTTGTTAGTTTTTGAGCTATGGATTACTAAATTAACTAATGTTATACCCAGATAACATACAATGGATGCATATTAAAATAAGACATTTATTGTCCTATTTGCTGGCGGTTTATGGTAACTGTAGTACAACTCTGCGAAGGCGAAAGAATATGTGGTCACACAGATATTATAAGAGTGTAAAATGGTTTGTTTCAGGAGTACATCATTCTTCAGTATGTTCTCTAACAACAACCTGTCGCGTACGCGTCGGCATAGCGGCAGCTCCAGTCCAATCACTGCACCTAACAATTTGTCCGTGAGTACTTATTTAATATGGTCAACTTATCTTGTTATTTGAGTTAATAACTATAATTTTACAAGATAAATAAAAAACCTGGACAATATATTTTCGACAAAGACAATTCTTGTGGATCAATGAGGTTTGGTAGATGGGATCATATTTGGTTTGTCTGTATGGGTCATATATGTTTTGTTGTTAGAGCGTATGGGGTCGGCGGATGACGCCGCGCGTGAGCCAACTGCGCGCAGAGGAATGTGCGGACGTGAGCAACACACGTGAGGTGGCGCACGAGCGCGAGGTGCACTGTGCCATGCAGATGGGCCAGTCCTGCGAGGACCTCGCTCTCGCAGCCGGTGCGGGCGCCGCACACTCGCCCACACGACTCGCCAGGTCAGTGTACGAACGGCACACTATCATTATAAATTGAGAGAGGTTTCCTAGAAAAGTAATTTTTAATATTAAAAAAATGTTTATTATCTTCTAATTTTTCACGAGACTAAAAGATATATTATGGAAACATGTAAACTTAATAAATAACGTTTTTAATTTTCAGATTTTCTCCGGTAGTGTCACCATCTCCGACGCGGAAGTACACGACGCGGCGGAGTTTGTCCCCGATAGCAATCCGCGCGGCGACTCTCAGCCCGGTGAGCAGGCCCAGCGCGCTCGGCGGTGCCGGCGGTGGCAAGAGGCGCTGGGATGAGGGCGACTCGCCGCTGCCGAAGCGCATGTGCACGGACAGGCTGACGCCCTCCACACCCGGCACCCCTGACTCCGACCTCGAGTGCACCTTCAGGCCGGTGTCCCCGCGACACCAGCCCATGCACGAGGCGCAGGACCCCGACGCGCACAAGGCCACTCCCAGCTAATAGTATGTATGCAACATGTCGCGTCTGATATGCAAGGCTGTGGAGTTTGTTATATTTGTTCATGTCCAGTACATTGTTGTTTCGTTACTTTCGACGCTAAACAAATTTAATTGTTTTGACCATTGATTACTAATCTTATAGGAATTTCTTCATGTAATCAAAGGTATAATCTCTCCCTATTCGACATGTTTATGTATTATAGCTTAGGGGAGGTCTTTGTAAATGACAGAACTATCTGCATTTTTGTCAATATTTTTAACTTTTTGTTAGAATTGCGTGCATCGGTTTATTTCCTCTGAATAGTTTACATTGTTCATATGTTTTATTATTCTTTATTAAATCTCATTTTGAATACAAGACATTTCATATTACATTTGAATTAACAAAAATTCATAAATAATATTTTAGTATATTTTTAAAGATAAATGTGGGCTTCCATAATATTGTTACTATTAACTTTATTTAAAACGTGACGTCATCACTTCGTTTTGAAATGGCTTAAGTTCGTATTGGTATGTCGAATGTTTGTTATTTTCATGTCCCGTAGCCTTTTGTTAACCAAATACAGATGACGCCTCGATTGAAGCGCTTTGGGGTCGTGAGGCCCGATAGTTTTAGTGAGCCATTGTGAACCTTATATCATTGCAATAGGGTTCACGTAGTTTCGGTGCATTCGTGTAGTCTACGACATTTAGTTCCTAGTAGAACTTGAGTAACGTAGCGTAGTGAGGAGCGAGTGCCCCGTTGATAGCCAAAGCATGGAAAACTTTATAATGTAAATATATTTAGTAGCGTTCTCTTGTATTGAACGTGTTATTGTATATAGACGTAGATTAAGAACAATTGTAGCCATTAATTTAATTATCTTCACGTGTTCATTGCAGTCCCGATTGTAAATTGTTTTATAATCACATATTACTTGCCACTATTTGACAATAGAATGTTTAAAGATACAGGGATTTATGGTTTTTATTTTTTCATGTGGCAACACTTAATAAGTTTGAAAAGCAAATTGTCTACTCTGCCTGGTGAAATTCTATCTTTATTTTGGTCATCTTGGATATTTCCATATATAAAATGTTTGGTATTAGTTACCAAAACTAACTGAAGTGTTGCCGCATTACATTTGTTTGATTTGATTTTGAAATTTTATTCATTGTATCATATTCATAATAATCGAAATTATTGTAGATTTCATAAGAATGATAAATAATACAAAAAGAAATAAATTTCCTGGGGTTACTGTACCACCTAATCATAGCCAAAGGGTAACCATGATAAACACTTCATTTAATTTCTTTTGTTTAGATTTTTTTGAAACAAATCTTTCATTATTTAGTATGCTAAGTAGCTTGCCATTAAAATTGTGTTTAATTGTTGGTTTCTGAGACCTAAATCTGCATATAAAACGTATTATCTCTTTCATTATCTTTGGCAAAGTGGAGATAACATTATGTTTTGTAGAGGGATATTGGTCTCAGAACCAATAAGTCATGTTGATATGTGTTTAAATCGAGTTATTTTGTATGTTTTCTGCAAGACTTATCAGTTATCCAACACTTTAATAGATTTAAAGTCTTTTATTCTTTGTCAGACTAATTGAGTAGATATTCAACTTTATTCAAACAATTTAACATAAATTTGCTTTACACAAATCAGGCATAGGTGATTTGTTCTTGTCTTTGTTGTTTCTAATAGTTTTTATTAAATCAACAATTGTTTTTGATTCATCATATATTAACTTCATATTTTGAAATTACTGATTTTGGTATTTGGAATGAAAAATTAAATGAATGAAAAGAAATTTGTTTTCGATTGTAAAACGTTATTCTGAATATTTTCAAATAGTATGGTGCCAATTTAGAAATTATCTTTGAAATTGTAAAACGACATATTTTTTGTGACTGGCAAAAAAAAAAAAAAACTATCTTTTGACAATGAAAAAGCTACCTCAATACATATGTATTGTCTTAATTGTATATTTATTATTCTTATGTCGGTAATAATATCAAAATATATATAATATATATCGTATTGTACGCATTGTGATGAATTTGTATGTTATTATGTAAATGTCGGCGACTTGTTGGGTTTAAAATAACCCAAATGGAAGTTTAGGGTTTTGTATTACCTCAGATACACTGATGTGTGAGCTGTTATATCGCATTTGTTTTATTATAATTTGTACATAATGTAAAGGTGAATGTATGAGGATGCCGGTTGGGCCTAGTTCTTGTGATCTTACTTATATTTTGTATAATTCGAGATAAAGTGAATATGACTTCAATATATCTATATGATACATGTAATTGTAAGATGCCACAAGTTAGGATGTGCTCAATAAGTGTAAATGATTTTTCTCTATAAGTATAGTTGTATTCATTTACTTTTATAGCAGTTGTCAGTGATATTGTATTCACTTTAGAGGTCTCGCTCCACCCACCCTGGTAAGGTCCGCAGAGCTAAGCCCAGTGGGCAGTGTAGTACATTGCCGCTACCTACGTACCTATATGTAGTGTAGGTATTCTTTTGTAAGTATGGTCGGAGGCCCCTCAATATCGCTTCTGGAATTACCATTTTGTTTTAAAAGTGTGATTAAATCACATTACGACGTAACTTTCGTTTTATTTTCTCTAATGTCAGTAAAAACAAACTCGTTAATGGTAATTTATACTGAGTTATTTTTGGATGATATCTGTAAAGGATAAACAATTTTAATCTGAAATTAGAGACAAGATACCAAACCAAAATCACTTTTATTTACACCTGAGCAGGTTTACATTAATAATGCTATTTGTATAGACGACAAACAATATAATGAAATAATAAACAGTTATATTAAAAGTAGAAATTATTCTAAAACTTACAAATAGAGAACAACCTTTATAACATTACAATATTTTGTACTCTTTAAAATGTAATAAATTACAAATAAGACAACGGAGAGAAATCTTCTCGCGCAATAATTATAATATCAATTAATCGTTAAATTATTACAAAATCCATTAGCAACAATAATTACAATTAAAATCATTAGCAAAGTTTGCCGCAATACATGTCGTATCAAACTGTACCCACTAACGCAACGTCATCTCACACTAAACTGAACACATTCAAACAAATTCATCTTGTTTCATCAAATAAATTAGCGATCATTTTATCTGCAAATACTTTAAGCCGATCATATTCTGACGTCATTACAAAATACAATTTACGAATAACTTTCCAATCTGTTATATGAATTATTAAACATTTAAGCGTGAATTTTAATATCAACGAACGAATCTCATTAATTTAAAATGATTTATAATATTTAATATAAATAAATATTAGGCGGGAGATTTTCAAATATGCATTTGCAAATTGAAACAGTTTCAAGCATTTAAAACAGCTTTATTTGTAAAAACAACAGCAACACATGCGCTAACGGAGGTCATATGGGATGATTGATTTGGTCTTTTTTGGTACATTTAACATTGAAGTAACATCAATGGAAACTTTGTTTCTCTAGCTAGTCTCAAATGTTCATACATTAAGAGGATGAAACCTCGAGTCTATTCAGTGTCCCCGTCTGCCACAATGTATGGCTCAACTCATTCATATAACACACACACACTCACACACAACACACATCTTCTACAATACTCAATGCAAATGGCAATGTGTTACGTTTCACGCTTTTATTCATTAACTAAATTGGACCATTCTGATCGTGTCTAGTCCCCAGTTGTCTTAATTCAACTATCTCACATTTCTACTAACCTATTTATACTAACTACGATATTGAAAGATTTCCAATATCAACTTTTAACAGTAAGAAAATACTCCATATCTTGAACGAAATTTAAGTCTTTTTGCCAGACCTTTTTTTTCTCATAAATTTAATATAATGCTATTACAATCCTACAAGAAACGATCTCTTACTTCTGAAAGTCTTTGTGCAGGATTCTAAACATTTTACTAACATAAAGTGTAAAACAATAAGAAGACATCAAATTATCAAGAACATTACACATCTACAATTTTCATTAAATTAAGTAACTTACAGTTTAAATGTATAGATTCTCATAAATCCATGAAACAATAGTTTAAGCGCAGCCCGAGTGGCACCTTACTTTGTATAACACAACTGATTTACCAAAATAATTAACAAATAGTTCCTCGATCAGTAGAAACTGTCCAATATAAACTTAGTGTATAAATACAATTTGTGAGTGCACGTTAATTAGCTAGGATAATTAGTCTAACGTTTAAGTAATTTGGACCCACCTGAGCAGTTTGTGCAGTAAAGTGCCCCGGGGCGCGCCTCAGCTGGTGGTGAGGGTGGCGAGGGCGCTGTCCTCCACCAGCGGTAACTTCGCCACTTCAAAGAACGTCGTGTGCGAGTACTTGTTGCGCACTGTGCTGATCGCCGACTTGGGCTTCTTGTGCAGCGCCGCGTTCTGCGCCAGCACCACCGGCATTATGTCCTCCAAACTGTAGCCTGGAATATCGAATTTAAATAATTTACATCCCAAAAAAATACTGCAAAAGTGTGCTATTAAAACAAAAGCCAAATATGTACACAAAATAACCCAATATTGACATGTATATCAGTAAATGAAAACAAAAACATAACATATAATCAAATTTATCACATAGATGGATAAATACATGCAATAGCAAAGTGCTTTGTTGCCATAAACTTTGCCATACTGTGACTGGATTCATCATTGAGTTTGTTCTTGTTCAGTCAGCAGAAAGGCATTGATTGTGAGATGCGTTAGCATGTATGCGTACGTACCGGTGTAGTACTGCAGCGCCGGTGTCCAGGAGCCGAGGGACTTAATGCGCAGCGCGATGTAGAGCGCGGCGGCGGCCATCTTGCTGTCCGAGTGCGCCACCAGCGTGTACTCCAGCAGGCACTGCTCCAGCACGAACCGCGCCAGCGTCAGCGTCGGCATCGACACGCGCGCGCACTGCGACACATGCAACACACACCGTTACTTTAACCAAATACATACAACCTGGAAATACCACAGCTGCAACTAAACACACTAATAAATAAATAATCAACTTTTGTGATTACACTTTTCATCATCATCAACTCACTGTACATCCCCATTGAGGGGTTAGGAGCCTAGCCTACGTTAGGGGTGACTAGGCCATAATCAATGGTTGCCCAGTGCAGGTTGGCTGAATATATTTTGAATTACTTCACAAATATGTGCAGGTTCTTACTAGGAAACCCAAAAAAACACCACGAATGATTATCTCTTGATAGGACAGTGAGAAGTAATTGAATATGAAATGTACATATACTCACCCTGGCATATCTCCTGAGGAAACTGTAGGAGAGCGGGATGCCGAGGTCGAAGTCCACCACCCTTAGGATGTTGATCTCCATCTTGAGCAGCTGCGCCAGGGTGTACGCGCCGTCGCAGATGTACAGGAAGTCGTCCACCGTGGGCGGGATGCGCTCCTGTAACATCAAACATTAATATACAGACTAAGATACAAATTACTTTTTATTTAATTGTTAAAAAATCGGGTACATGTAATATGCTTAACAAAAAAACTTGGTCCATGATTTCTGTCTACCCCTCTGGGTTACGGGATTATGTTGTTGTTGTAAAAAGAAAATGATCAAAAAAGGATCATTTCTGTCAGTTTGTTTTAAAACGGATATGGATATTCTCATTTCTTTCAATAAGAACTTGTAACTTACTCCAATAAGACTTCTCATAAACCAACAAGATGTAGTCAATCAAATAAAGACTTGGAATTTCTTACATCAAACTTGGAAGCAATGAAGAGTGCGGATGCTCCCAGGAGTTGCAGCTCTTCTTTAGTCAGATGCTCCCTCTCCGGTTTCGTCTTAGTGGACCTGGTGAGGAAGAGGTCCACCAGCTTCACAGCCAGGTACAGTGTCTCATGGTTCAGCTCGAAGCTCTCCTGCACCTCTACCATCCAGTCCACGAGGAGTGCCCGCATCCACGATGTGATGTCTTTCAGACGTTGTAGGTAGTCATCAATAGGGAACAAACGCTGAAATTATGAACAAAAATATTTTTTTTAAGATCTAAACTCTCACACTCTAGTGTAAACAAAAAAAAAATAATTTACAGGACATTCCATCTTCATGTCCTTAATAAAAATTTTGATTGAACATAACATCTGATTTTTACATTCCAATTGTGCCCAAGTGATTTTTTAACTTCCATACTTATTGGGACATGCAATCTTATAATTTAATTAAAAAAAAGTTTCATAAAAGTGTGACTTATGTTGGGTAGTGAGCGGCAGTGTCGATTGGAGTCATCGTAGACGATTTTTTGCCAACTGGACTAAAGTAGGATGATGTTTAAGAGAATCAAAAATTGACAAGCATGTATACATTGATTTATAAAGGTGGAAAATATTATATGCCTAGATTTAATGTGACAGTCATTTGCCGTGTTGTATGCTCACCTCCCTACTCTTCAAGTAGTTGAAGATGTCCATGGCATAGTTGGAGACCTGGAAGGGGTCATTCCAGTTCTCGCGGTCAATATCGGCGACGCCATCGGGCACGCGATGCGGCTCCTCGCGCTCCTCATCCAGGGACCTGTTCAGTGAGTCGTCGAGATTCACCTTGTTCAGCTTCTCACTAATCGCCTTGTATTCCTCCTTTGTTATATCGGACGGAGTTCTGTAAGTTATTTTTAAATTTTTGAGATATGCATAAAAGTATAAAAGACCTGTTTACAAGTAATATTTTCTTTATAATCTATCTAATGCTGTGCATAGATTTGGAAAGAAAGAACAGAGGGTTTAGATAATTAAATAATATAAAATAAATTTTTGACCTACTTTGAAATACCAGGCATAAATACTACAATAAAAAATAAGATAACTAAAAAATGGCTTGTCAATTTATCATTAAAAAAAATCGACCAGATGGTGATTATTCTCTTTGGGTTTAAAAAAGTACTACTAGCCCTTGATGATGTGCTAATTAACTAGGTCACCACTTACATTGGTGCTGCATATAATAAATTTTGCCAATGTCTACTTTGGTAAGTAGGTTATGGGAGATTGTAGCTCAAAAATTAAAAGTAAACTTTGAATTTAGTTAATGTTTAAAAGTCCAAATCATTAAAATTACATAAACAGATAAAAATATAATTTAAATATTGTGAGGTAAACTTGACAGATAAAATGTTGTTGCAATGACCACTTTTGTTGATAAACAATAACAAGTCATGTAGGTTATTAGTTGATTGTATGGAAATGTCAAAATGGATGAGTCACAATATGAATGTAACATAAGTCAATGTTGAGTGTGTGTTACTTGAAAGTGAATGTTACTTTTGCTTGCAAAATATAAAGTTTTGTATTTAACTTTATTTATAATTTAATCAACTGAGATTAGTTAGTAATTTTTTTTATTCATTGATAAAGTAGTAAATATTTGTCAATGTATATTTGTATTTTGTAATGTATTTTTTTCTTAAATAATTAAGTTAAAATCTGAAAACACTAACATATTTTCCAAAGCAGTAACATATAGGGAAGGCTCTCCAGACACATCACTTCTGCCAGATTTTGTTGAGTTTTGACTTTGATTCTGTTCTTTGTTTTCATTGCTGATAGATTTCCTTTCAATATTCTTCAGTATTCCATTTTTTGCCCGTGTTGCAACTGGCTTTGGTGGATCCTTGGCAAAATGTTTCTGAATTGATTCCAAGGCATTTGTGGCTGCCTTTTGAATTTGTTTACTTTTTGTTGTTTTGTTGTTGACAATAGTTGGCTGGGGCTTGATGCTCTAAAACATTAATTTAATTCAATTGCATACATTTTATAATGTCATTATTATTTGCAGCATGTTTTATAAGTTCTAAATATTTTGTAAAAGAACAATAATTTTACAATTTTGATTCTTAATTTTACTACAAAGATTGTTTGCTTGGAATAGAAATGCAATATATTTACATAGGTATTTACATTATTTTCACAAGACCATGTAGATATGTTTATATAGAACACATTGCACATGTGCCTTACAATTTAGTAAAATTGAAAATTATGAGATATCTTAGAAAAGAAACTGATAAATGGAAATGTGGTGATTGGTTAGGATTTCATAAAATCTTAGGTAAAATACATTAGAAAATTGGTAAATTTCAATTTAAGATCAGATTAGTCACTAAACCCTAGATAATCTTTAACCTTATATTGTAGTAATTAATATCTGAGGCTGAGCAAGTTTTTCTTCAATTGATAATTAGCAAAATAAGCATAACAGGGTTGTAAGGCTGACTTAATAGTGTGCTCATCCACTCAAATTGCTTAAAATTCATGCATAAACATGATAAAACGGTTTATAATCATTTAGCAAGCAAATTAACATCTAGCACATGGCGCTTTTGAATGGTGTATTGTGTTAATTCGGTTTATCTCCTTTGGCAAATGCTAAATGCAAAAAATTGCATGCTGTCAATTTTTGGAGGGAAAGGTCATTAACCTGTAGACGTTATATTTTTCACATAAATTAGCCGTGCAGTAATGTGATTTGACCCTTAATTTGATGTCGATAAATAGATCAGATGTATGTAAATGTAAATAATCAAGTACCCACAAAAATATGTGATAAAAAATTTGTATGGGCCATTACTAACCTTGACTGTTGGGAGCAATTTGCTTTCCACCGTTACTTTTTTCAGCGCCGTAACTTTGTCGTTGGTTGCTGTAGACTTGTTGAAGGCATTCGTAATGTCCCCAAAGGCTGCCCTCTTTGCAGTCATATTTTTCAGGGGACTATCTGCTTTTCTCTTGTTTGTAACTTTCAAATTGTCTTTATATGTTTTCAGAGTAGCCATCTGCTTACTCCTCGTCGTGATGCCTTGATTCATGATGCTGTTAATATTCTCATTGACGCCGGTCGACTTCGATGCCAACCTTGTTGGCGCCATTGCGTACCTACGAGTACACAACCTTTCTAACATTACAAAACGAATATCACACAATCGCTAAATAATTAGCGTGCTATTGTCGTTATACAAAACATAATATTTGTAACTGATAAGTTAACGATCAAAAATGGTGGCAAAACAATTGAAGATGTACATGTTTATCACACATCATTAGAAATTAAATACATAATTGATACTCACAATTTCTAGACGGCGGCGGCCGTTTTGTTGTAAAGTGTTAGCTAATTTTAAAATTTAAATAGCCCTATCACTATTTGTCAATGTAAAATATTCTAAATATATTTTCCAAACGTTATTTCAACTCAACTGAAATGAACATTCTACAAAAACCGTTGCTTCAAAATTCTATTGGCATATGATTGGCCAATGCCGAAGAAGCAGCTGAAAACGATCAGTTTCACGCAAAACGTTCGTTGAGACTAAAGTTAACCAAACACAAAAAAAAAAATAGCTATTGCAAAGATTTTCAAAAAACTGTTTATTTAAAAACAATGTTAAATTTTTTTTAGCATAAACCTTTTAATTAAATGAAAATATTTGCTCTTAATACCCAACATAAGGTGACATAATCGATGAAATTTCTTTTAGCTTTCTTTTACCTTCTACAATAAGAGACAACAATTAATAATTTAATAAAACCTTTTGCAATAAGCATTTTCGTCTTTTAACACTACGATTTTTTGTCATTTTTGCAGGTTTGCTCTCAAGCTGTCAATGTCAGATCATTGTCATTAATTTCCCTTTTGAGTTATCGAGATTATTTACAATAAAAGTTATATTGTAAAAACTTTTTGCGTTAGTTCGTGTAAGCCTAATACTGTGTAAATATAAAGCGAAACAAAACTGTTACACGTCTTTGTGTTCAATATGTTAGGCGGTCTAAGGCTTAGAGTGTCGTATACCTACGAGAGATCTTGTTTTGCTTATATCAGTCCAAAGTACAGTACAAATAATGAACAGGTACGCAATAAGACGAGATCCTTTTAAAAGTTTTGACCCATCAAATAATTATTGTTTTTAACCCTCCTTTTCTTTCAATTTCAGTCACAATGTGTACAAGTTCTTATAAAGGAGAAGCAGATATTCTTATGGGTGGTATTCAGTAGTAACATCCCTGAGGGTTACATCGCCTGTAATCCTATATATTGCAAGCTTGTAGGTCTGGATGAAGGCAGTGAGGTTTTTGTCTCACCATACATGAATATTAAGATTTTGGATGAGTTATTTATTGATACCGAAAGCCCAGATGATCAAGAGATACTAGTAAGACAAATTACTTTGTAAAAAAAACAACATATTGTGTAATGTAACCTTATTGTTCTTTTAACTTGGTGTTAGCATTTTTGCAATGGTGTATACCACATAAATCTTTTATCTTTAGTTAATATTATCTTCAAGCTGTAATAAATAAATTTCTCCCAATATTTTTAGTAATAACAGTAACTTTAATATTTTTTAAAATTAACCAACATGCAATAATAATGATTTAATTTTCAGGAGCACAATGTAGAAATATTACAACTGAGAATACTTGATCAACTTAGACTTGTTGTAGCAAATCAAAAGGCAATAGTATGGATATCAACATCAATGCCTATTATTTTTACACCGAAACAAACTGGTATCATTGTGAATCACAGTCGAGTTGTTGTCAAAATAGATGCATTTAATTGTTTTCATAAAACTGTCACATATCCTGCAATTCTACCTAAAGATACTGATACAAAATTTAATAATATAGGCATTATTAATAATGCACTTTTAGAGCCTTATTTAAATGTAGCAAAACGGCTAGTTTTAAGAGCTTTGCCTATAGATAGTGATGGTAAAAAGAACCTTATACATCCATATACAGTATTTGTACATGAAGATTTAATTGATGTTAAATATAAGACTTTAACGGTTATATTAGCTACAATGGAACATATTCCGTCTATATTGAAAGATAATACTGACGAAGACAGTGATAATTATAGCAAAATAGATGGTATCTGTGTGGAAATAGTGCCTATTGATAATGTCATCTTTAGAAGTCTTTGTCACGAATATTATAATATAAATATACCAACAGTACTTTTACCAAAAGCTTTAAATGCTATTATAAATATAGAGAATGGTACTAAAATTATATTTAACGTAATAGGTGATAAAGTGGATCATCCTGTACATGTAGATATTGTGACGTATTCAGATAAAATCGAAACAGAAATTGATGTGATTGAAAAGTTTAAGAAATGTGTAGTAGAAAATACGCATTCGGGTAAAAAGTTTCTTATAAACCATAATATGGTGAAAGAGAACACTCAAGTTAGTTCTGGTTATATACAATTTAAACTTAAACCGGATAGTATAAAATATACAATGCTTAATTCTGAGTCGTTTAGACATTGCACTGTAGCGGCTAAATGTCTTACAGATTGTGAACTTTCTCTTCCAAAACCTGTTATTTCTAATCTAGAATATGATTACAAAAATTACTGTAGAAGTATAAAATCTGTACAAAGTCTAGTTGAGAAGGTAGTGCTGCATTTACAATTTGAAATTCATCGAGAAGCTAATTTCAAAGGTGTGTCGGAGATAAAGAGTAATGTGCTTGTGACTGGTGAGTTTTTTTACTATTTTTATTGAAAAAATCCATCAATATTATATAAAGGATAATAATAAGTGATAATCTATACCGTTTTTCAATCCATGGTTTCCGAGACCAAAATCTCTGTATTTAACATAATGTCATCTTTGACAAAATAGGGATAAAATTTGTTTTACATAGGGATTTTGGTATCAGAAACTCTCGGTTAATATAAATACTATTTTTTAATTATATATATATATACTGACTGTAGCCCGCGACTCCGTCACCGCGGAATGAAATAAGAAAATAATTAGTAGCCTCTGTGTACTTGAAGACTGTATTTCTTTAGCCCTTCTGAAGATACCTTTAAACATCCATCCATTCATCCATCCATTCGCATTTATCATATTAGTAAGATTAGTATGACTAATTCATTGTAATATTTTTCAGGTCTAAGTGGTACAGGTAAATCAAGTCTATGTCACATAGTTCAGAAGGAGTTGACCGTGTGGTCAAATATACTGCACTGTCGATCACTGAAAGGTCGGAAGGATATCCCGGAGGTGCTGGGCAAAGCTATCCTGATGTGTCAGGAGCACAGTCCTGCGGTACTTGTGTGTGATGATCTGGATGCATTAGTACCAGCTAATGTAGAAGGTGCTTCACCCCAAGATATAGCATATTATCAAAGGTAAATTATTTATTTTCAATTTTTTAGTGCTAATTTGTTTAAAAATATATTGTCATGATTTTTTTGGTTCATTAAAAAATTTATATGTCTAATATAAACTTCATGGAAATTTTACAGTAATTTAGAACACAGGTATTTTTTTTTTTAATGTATGTTAAGTTTCGATTTTTGTCTGTTGTCTGATTTACATATATATATATATTTTTTTTTGAAATAAAAATCATAGAATATAATGAAAACATTGAAATTTGCTTAAATTTATTACTTATAATATTGTAACAATTATCAGACTAGCAGTGGTACTGAAGCACGTGCTGCAGACGTGCTCGGGCGTGTGCGTGCTGATGACGTCACTCACCATGAACTCCCTCCATCCCATATTGCGTCAGTTCAACGGCAAGCCATTGTTCACTGCACACTTTGATATACCTGAATTAGAACAGGTAATCCAGTGAATCTATAAGGTTTTAAAACCTATTTAAACAATCTTAGTTTACACAATTTAGTTCCTTTCCTACTCTTTTCTTATAAGGAAATGTTGGGAAGATGTGGATTTGATAGAGGAGGGGATGGGGAAGGGGATCATTTTATTTTCTGTGCATCCCCTCCTCCATTGTTAAAAAGGAGGTAATGCATCTGGAATTGTAGATGTCCATGGGTATCGGTAGCTTCGCTATCAGCTGAGAAGTTACATAATCCCTGGATAACATAGGTTCCGCGGACGAATTCAAGGACAACTGTTTATATCATAGCTATTATTAAGTATTACAACTCCCTTCTATGTCGGTGTAACCGTTTTTTTATGAATTCAATGTGTTAACAGGAGGATAGGATAGAAGTATTCAAGCATTTGATAAATGATAAAATACGTTCGTCATTCGAAGTGGAGGAGGATGACGTGATCAAGATGGCGATGGAGACCGCCGGCTGCACTCTCAGAGATCTCACAGACTATCTCAACAAAAAAATATTCAAGGCTGTTAAGAAAAAAAGTTAGTTTAAAAGAGATTGCATACAAATTATTTCGTATACCTAAAAATATGAACATCGATTTATTTTAAAAATATGAACATCGATTTATTTTAAAAATATGAACATCGATTTATTTTAATAAACAGAAAAAAAATCAGACTCAGATTTCCTTTTATTTTTTAGGCAAAAAAACAAAAACTTTAAAGCATATTATGGATTACTTTTTTTTAATTCTGCGCTGACGAAGTCACGAGCGACTGATAGTAACAGATTAAAACAATGTTCTTTCTCTTGCATGTTTTTGATGAAAATGTTTATATTACAGATGCTCAATCTGAGGATACAAAGCCGAGGTTGGTAGAAGACATCACAAAGGACGAGGAGAAAGCGAAAGAGTTTGATATCTGGGGTCCAGTGGGGGGAATGGCCGAGGTGAAGCAAGCGCTCACTGAATGCATATTCTGGCCAATGATGGTGAGTTATAATCACTTACATTTGATGACATGACCTAAAGTTTTTTTTTTACTTTTATATTCATTTAGTACTAACTATTGCCCCTGAATTTGTCTGCATGTAAAAAAAATAGTAGTCTATGTGTTCTTCCCGACTATTTTCTACATGTATGCCAAAATTCAGAGAGATACATTCAGCTGTTGTGGAGATACCTTCTATCAATCATCCATCCATCCATCCAAACATTCGCATTTATAATATTAGTAAGGATTAGTATGATAAAGTTAGTAAATATGTAAAAATACTCTGGAATATGTATGCAAAAGTGAAATTATCTCTCTATCTCTCTCTCTCCAACCATGATTACATTCACTATCTCTCTCTCGTCTGAGTATCGTGCAGTACCCCGCACTGTTCGCGTCTACGTCCACGTCCGCGTCGTGCGGCGTGCTGCTGTACGGGCCGCCGGGCGCGGGCAAGTCGCACGTGGGCTCGTGTCTGGCGCGTCTCGCTCACGTCACGCTGCTCACTGTGAAGGGTCCCGAGCTGCTCTCCAAATATATAGGACAGAGCGAGAAAGCGGTCAGAGATGTCTTTGATAAGTGAGTTCTGACACTTTACATTACAACTTTGGCTATTACCACAGGAACATTTGTATTTTGCATTTTTAACAACTTATTTCTAGATAATAGGAAGATTTTTTTATAAAGTCTTTTATAAATGTCTGACTGATGGTTTCTGAGATAAAATCTATAATATATTAATATTATAAAGAGTTTGTTTGTTTAAACGCGCTTATCTCAGGAACTACTGGTCCTATTTGAAAAATTCTTTTTTTGTTGGATAGTCCATTTATAGAGAAAATCTTTAAGATATTTAATATTATGCTGCGACCAATAGTTTTTTTAATTCTGGACGGAGTCGCGGGTGACAGCTAGTCTCTGTATAAAGCATCGTCATCTCTGACACAATCTTTGAAAAAACGCAGATAAGTTTTGTATGGGGAATTTTGGTTTCAGAAACCTACGATTAATACTTGGTAAAATGATTTTTTATTAATGAATTTCTCAGAGCCGACATGAAGCGGCCGTGCATCCTGTTCTTCGATGAATTCGACAGCCTCGCGCCCAAGTAAGTCGCATATTGTAAGTACATCTTTGTACGTTGCTACTTACATCCTTGTTACACTCAGAGTCCTTCTATAATCACTAAGGGAGTTTCTTTAATATCTAGTGTATATATCAGCTGCCTTTTATATCGTAAGGTGGCAATCAAGACATCTGAACTTGACCGAAATAGCGAAGCGACCACGACCTGTAAAAAACTGTAATTTGCAGATGCATCTCCTACCTTTATTTGAAGGAGAAGGTGCACAAAAAGAGAGTATTTCCCCTTGATATGTGTCGAAAGAGAGATAATTGAGGTGTTTGTTGTGCGGTGTGAGACAGACGCGGTCACGACTCCACGGGTGTAACGGACCGCGTGGTGAACCAGCTGCTGTCCCGCATGGACGGGGCGGAGGGGGGCGCGCGCGGGCCCGTGCTGGCCGCCACCTCCCGCCCCGACCTGCTCGACCCCGCGCTGCTGCGTCCCGGCCGACTGCACATACATCTCTACTGCCCCCTGCCCACACTGGTACACCACCCACACACCTCCCACCCCCCACACATCTTTGCGTTAAAACTGAAAGAACGAGAAATTTGATTCGATGTTTTATCAACCGTAATAAGTGACGACATCAACAAAACACAAGCGCGATGTAATAGACCGGTAGCGCCATCTATATTTACATTAATATAAATACAGGAAAATGCTTTAACAAAGACTTAGAGTGCTGTCAGATTTTCTCGCTTAAAAACAAAATAAAGTCTTATGTGATGAATGTATTTAAATAAAACCAGCAGGGAGGAAAAAGAAGGAAAGGGAGGGACTTCACTTCTCCCACGGTTGATTTTTTTAATTTTTTGATTGCATTCAGAAAATAATTAATATTCTATAGCTTCTTTGTTTATACATGATTTTAGTTACATTTATACTCGATGGATTAAAATAATTTATAGAACAAAATACTGTTGTCTTGTCACGACAAGCAGAACATTAGTCTTATTTCCGATGTGTCAAGTGAAATGACATACAATATTTTATATTATGCACTAACAGCCAGATCGTCACGAGATCCTGTTGACGTTGGCCAAGGACGTGGTCCTACATGAGGAGGTAGACCTGGCGTCGCTGGCTGCGCGCACGGAGGACTACTCCGCTGCGGACCTCAAGTCCTTGCTCATCACCGCGCAGCTCACCAGGCTGGAGAAACATCTTGTAGGTTTTATCCACATGATCATAATTTCATGTGATAATTATTTATTGAACTTGTGACTATGGGTAACTATATAAATTAAAATTAAACTTTAAAATCTGTTATAACAATAAGTTAAAACTTACCGTGGGTTTCTGAGACCAAAATACCCGTTCAAAACATATTTTTATACTGATTTTGTTTTCAGAAACCCCGCGGTGAGTCCTTTTATATTAAACGATTCTTGAAACAGTTTCCTGAATTAGAAGTTTCGTCTACTAAAACATTCAAAAATATATTTTTATCTCTATTTTATGTTATTTTTGTGCGCAGGTAAATGAAGACGGCGGCAGTATGGAGACGGTGGTAGTGCTGCAGGAGGACGTGGACTCCGCGCTGCAGGAGACCAAGCCCTCGCTCTCCAGGGAGCAGAGGCTGTTCTACGACACCATGTTAGTACTAATATATATAAAATTGTCCTACTATTTATTGAGAGATTTCAGCGAGATTCATACAGCCGTAAGTAAGATTATGCAGATAACAGTTTAGTAGCTATTTTCACTAACCAAATTAGCCGCGCGACTCTGACACCGTGCAGTCATTTTTTATTTTATATCAGAAGGTGGCAAACGAGCAAGCGGCCACCTGAAATCGCTGAAATAGCGAAGTGACCGTTGTCCATAGATATACGCAATTGCATATGCTTTGCCTACCTTTAATCGACGGAGGAGAGGATGCACAGAAAGAAAATATCTTCCCTTTCCATGCATCCTCTCATCCGGAAAGTCCACTTCCACCTCCCATCATTTCCTTATAAGAAAAAGGATGGGAAGGGAAAAAGACTCACACTCATCAGACTGCACGCGGAATAGCTTCCACTTGACGCGTGTCTTCTGTATGGTCGTGGTATTTCACCGGGCGAGCCGGGACAATTCGTGCGGAGATGTTAAAGCTCGCTCTACCACTTTTACCAATTCTGAACAGTAGTGCGGTTATCTGCAAAGTGGAAATTGCATCTAATTTTCACTGTCATAAAAAAAGCAATACAAAATCTAAATATTTTTTTAATGCATGGCTAATAGATACTAAGCATTTACTTAAATGTTTTGTTTTTAATCTGTTGTGTTCTCCCCCCCCCCACAGTTACCGCAGGTTCCGTGGAGAGACGCTGTCCACTGAGCAGCGTCAGCTCTCGCAGCTGATGCACAAACAGAGAGTCACATTAGCCTAGTCTATACAAACTAGACTAGACCTCACTCTGATACACTTCATTCTAATTTCAAAATTAACAAATATCACTATTTGATACATTTTTAACTGTGTAAAGATTTTTTCGAGGTTATTTGACACATTTTTTTACCATTTGTTGGAAAACTAGCAAGATGTTACTTGAATTCGCCGAAATAGCGAATAATCGATGGTGACGGACAGAAAGATAATTTTCTACGCATACCAATCAATTCCACTTCCCCTTCATTACCATTCCTTATAATAAAATGAGGAAAAAACACTAAAATTGTATTTTTTCTCTGTTTAATTTTTGATAATTTTGCTTACTGTGAATATTTTAAGGAAGGTTATTAATATATGACAGCTTAAAATCACCAAAGACCATATTTGTTAATGTTTAACAAAATAAATACATCTTTTACTTTTTTTTTGTATAATTATTAAAGGGTATTAGTATATTTTAAAGTTATTTAAGTGAATTTAAGATACTAAAGTGAAAGTTAATAGAAAATATTTGTATTTAACGAGGGATGGGTTTGTATATTATGGCGAGGGCACTGTCGCGCACTATTTGAAGACAATGCATTATAATTTTTTTAATATTTTTACAATACTTATAATATGCTAAAGAGATCAGAGACAGATCATCAGCTCACTATAAGTCCTCACCGAGGGGCTCGGAGTCTACCCTAAGTTAAGGGTGATCAGGCCATAGTCAACCACGCTGCCCAAGTGCGGGTTGGTTAACTTAATATACATATCTTTAAATTTCTTCTCAGATATGTGCAGGTTGCATCACGATGTTTTCCTTCACCGTAAGAACGTCGGATAAATGTACATATGTAAATCGGAAATGGAAAAACACATTGGTACATGGCGGGATTCGTACCCAGGACCTGCAGATTGCAAGTCAAGTGCTTGACCACTGAGCCACGGACGATTTTAACATGCTAGAAATGAAGGAACAAATTTATTTATAATTATAAAAAATAATTTATATGGTTGAATTTATTTGTATATTTTGTTATTTACGTGAAGGTTATTTTGATAAATAAATTACTATATTTTATTATATTTGGTTTTATTTAATAATTTAATAATAATTCGAGCAAATCTACGTTGATCTAAACATGGGTTTCTGAGACTTAGATCTATATAAACTATATTGTTCTCCCTGTCATTACCTTTACACAAAACAGAGATAACAATATGTTTTTAAACGTAGATTATACAAAAAGAAACGGTAATTAAACCAATGGTAAGACTTAGATTCCTTTAAATAAATAATTGTAAAATATCAATTAATTAACGAAGTATTCGGATAAAGTAATCAAATTTGTTTGATTTAAGACATCGAAGATCCGATACAAAGTTTGTCTGATCAATTAGTCGATATCTCGCAAGCTAATTACGCCGCGTCTCATCTCCACTCCGCGCCGCCGCCAGTACCTACTGATAAAACGTTAACCCATCAATATACAAGTCTCATTAGTGCTCTGATGTTTTAATAGTCTACGATGATAGATTCCGTATACGCTGTTTCAAATCAAGATGAAAACATTGTGTTTATTTTGATATAGCTGTCGCCCGCGACTCCGTACGCGCGGTATTAAAATTATATTTAATTCCGGGCTATGTTCTACATCTGTGCCACATTTCAGCGAGATTTTTTTAAACCGTTCCGGCCATCTAAACATGGCATTTATAATAGTCGTGTTTTTATATATCAAATGGTGGCAAATGAGCATGAGCAAATTTGCATTTACAGATGCGTAGCTTACCTTTAATCGACAGAGGAAGAAGACGCACAAAAAGATTATAAAGAAAGGGTCCTCTGTATCTCTTCCACTGCCAAATACATGTGCTCCTCCATTCCTTTGCTTATAAGAAAAGGGTAGGAAGGGGAATGAACATTGTCTTTTTGCGGGAGTTATTTTCTAGATTAATACCAAAATGTTTAAGATCACTCTATGAATTCTTATGACGTGTGTCAATCTTAAATGGAATTAAATTATTATAAAAACCATGGTAAGTATGTATGTAGATTTACAAAAAAAAAGCGAACGATTTAAATATTTAAATAATATCTCATTTCTTGATATAATTAAAACAAATATAATTACGTGGAGCGCAGCAGATAATCATGTTTTATTGAAAAACTTACGCGCGCCGCCGCGGCTGGGATTAGTTCACAACTTGCACAATAATTTAGATTGAACGATGATTCTGAGCGCGCCGACACCGACATCTTATTTGCCGCGAAATTTCACGCTGCTCACAGATACACGAATTATTTTTTAGTATTACTAGAAGTGTTTTGTAATTATAAAATATAATAGTTTAGTCTATATAGAAAAATATCTCCAATCGCAGAGAATTGACTTGACGTACCTGAAAAATCAGTGAATTTGTGAGCATTTTCAAAATAGAGATCTCAAAAAGTATCCCGTCGCTTCTGAGTCATTGCCGACACCGAACTTACGTGGGTGTAGCCGTTTTTAACTATATCCACTAATTAAACTGGACTTAAGATATAATACCTGATTTTTGAGCAAAAAAAAATTAAAACTTTAATAGAAAATTTATATTAAAAAGTATTATTGTACTTTTCATTGGCTTTGATAAAAACAGAATGTATGCAAATTTCCCTGCAGTAGATTTCAACTGTTAATTTAGCAGAGCCACATCCAGTGGGATCGTGTAGTCAATGTAACCGCATCGTGTGAAGTTTGAGCACAGTTTAATGGCTTAAGTCGCGATCGCAACAAGCTGGGTAATAAATTAAACGTGAACGCGGCCGCGGGAGGCGCTACTCATTATAAACCACTGATATCACATTAGCAGTTAATCTCAAGTTAGTTAAACTCAAGAGAACATTGATTAATTATTTCAGTGAATTTTATATATAATATAATATAATTTGTTTAACTTCAAATTCTTATGTATTATTATGTATACCAGAATATGAGATTACCAAGGAATTGATGACTATGGTCTATCATACATACACTGCCATACTTTTTATATACGTATAACCAAAACACTGACATTTGTATATTTTTAGTAACAGTTGCCAGTGACTACATCTGCGTTGAATTAAAAAAAATAGCAGTCTATATGTTCTTCCTGATTATGTTCTACATCTATTCCAAGTTTCATTAAGATCCGATTTGGAGATACCTTCTAACAAACATCTATCCATCTAAACATTCTCATTTATATTAGTAAGGAGAGTAAGATTGTAATTTTGTTAAGGTAAAAATTGTTAGACAAAGAAATCGTTACGTTAATCAAATTCCAAGAAAAGATCGCTCAAAAAATATAAAAGTTTGAAGGTGAAAATTAGGACCCTTCTGTGTTCGCGAAGAAAGCGGTTTTTATTCCGCTTAAAGTAATTATTGTATTTTTCTGAAAGAGTTTGTTAGCGGACCATTCAGCCGGGGCGCGGACGCTCTCCTGCGCCCAGGGACGGACTCAAATGTTTTTTATTTCTTTAAAAATTTAATACACAATCAACGATTAAAAAAACAAGAAGGAAAGATAGACTAGATAAAGAAAAAGGAAAGAATCATAGCAATACAACAAATGGGAGATATTAACCACTGACCTATTAAATAATTAAATATAATTACAAAATAATTTAGTGATATATCGAATAATAAAAAAATTTGCTCAAGATCCGCCTTACGACAAAACTTTACATATAGAATTTTCCTTTTATTCTAAAATATCAATTATGTTTTGAATTTGTTTTTATCATACTATACAATATATTTTATTAAATTAAATATAATACATTTTTAATGTAACCAAGTCCAACCCTCGCCGTGAACCGGAGTTTTCTTGTTTTCCTTGAGTTTTCTCGGCTTTTCTTTGCGTATTCTTTCGTTTGGTGCCGTAATTAGTTCATTCAGCACCCTCCCACATCTTGCTCTCACCCTAAATTATCTTGTTTATTGAAAACACTTTTATTATATTTTCTTTTGACTTTTCTTTCGAACTTTGAACTCGTATTAATGCGATTTTATAGGGTAAATACAATAAATAATTTTATTTATAAATTTCGGTTTGTTCCGTTCCGTGTTTATAAAAACATCTATCTTAACGATGATAGTATGTGCGGGATGTATATACGTGTATTTAACAAAGTAAATAATTAATTTGAAGAAGCAATAATTTTAATACATTTAAATTAATGAGCATAAATTAATAAGCACGAAAAAGTTATTTTGTTCCTAATTGTAATTAAGTTTTCTTGTGACCTTTCAAATGAATAAAATTAATTCTTAAAATTGATGAAGAGAAAATAAGAAAATTGTCAAACAAAACACGTAGCCCGCTATCTTTTCAGCCGCCCAGACGTGAGCCGTAAAAGAAAAAGGGGCGAAGTCTCGGAAGCGTCGCTGATAAGCCGACGTAATGGCGGCCACGATACCGCTCCCGCCTTTTTCTCCCGCCAACAGCGCATTGTGCCACAGAATGGCAACACAAAGACACTTCGCCACCACAATGCGATCTGCTTTCTCACTAAAGCGATGTAATTTTTTTGTAGACTATACAATGGTTGAGAAGATAGATTTCTTAAAGCTATATTCACACCACACGAAAAACAAGACAACAATATATTTATGTAAATCAATGTATGACACAATTTTTCTACTTTCCAAATGACTTCCAAATGACTTAATGAAAAACGTTCTTTTTTTAAATTGGAAAGTAAAATTAAAAACTGTTATTATCAAAATTGTAGCCGTAATATTTACACCTATGGTTTTTTATAAATCTATTTTTAAGCTGTGGTTCGTGCCAAGATATTAAAGCACTTGAATAAAACAATTTATTAATAAGCGAGTGTGCGAGTTGAAATATTAATAAAATCAGAGCACACACAGCCGAGTGCGCTCGATTTGATCTTTTAATAAGATGTTAATTGACACGTATTAGAATTTTGAAGTAAATTACAAAGGAGGGCGACCTCCATCGCGCCCCCCACATTAGCGGCCGGGTGGGGCGCGCGACAAATTTTTGTTTTTCTCTCGCGCTTGAGACAGCAAGTCAGGTATTCCACGTGCTAGAATGAGACAAAGAGAAGTCCACACATTGCTTTTGTTAAAGAGTAAAAATAATAGAGAGAACGGTCGTTTATCTCTTTTTATGGCGCGACGGTATCTTCGCGCCGTCGTTCGCTATTATGGAAGACAATTTTGGCGCGAAAGAAAACTGCTTATTACCTCTTATTCTTGAAAGTGCGCTCCCCACTCCTCACTTTATAACGACTTTGTGAACGTCGAAAGCGCTCCTTTATACTAAAATGATTTTTATTTCTATCGTATTCACTAAACATTTTAGGTATGCCAAGAAATAATTTTATTTTCGTTCATGTTTACTATTGTTGAACATGACAAGTTTTGATACTTTTTTACGATATTACAAACAAGCGTAGCTGACATCCAACTTTTTATTACGTACTAAAATCAAATTTTAATTATTTCTATATATGTACTGAGCTCGCAATATTTACAATATCCGCATGAAAATATTTTAAAGTGTTCTATAAATTATTATTTATTGAAGTACAAGTATCAAGTATATTAAGTCGCTGCACTTTAGATAAGGCGTGTATTGTGCCTCTTTTCTTCGCAGCTTTTCTATCCGAGAATAAGATCGTCTCCAGCAAATGGATTAAGAAGTTAAGTATTTATTTA